CTGGTAACTGCTATTAACCTTCATGACTTTGACTTCTTGTCTCTTTTCAAAGCTATCCTCCATATGGTCGGATTGTGTTCTATAAGCTTTGTTTCACTGCAACACCTCTGTCTTCTCTCTGAAGCTTTTGGTTAGTGCTGTTTTATGTGGATAGTGAAAAAGCAGAGCCTCTGAATATAAAGTACCACGAGGACAACATCCCCCCTTTCAAAACCTTCTTGCTCCTAGCTGGGCAAAACTGTGCAAAGAATGTAACATCTTCTTTGAGTTACATGCCTTGTGACTTCATGGACATGATCATGTAACTTACAGAGATTCCCTTAGACCAGGATTGGGGGACTGTAGTAGCCCCTATGGAAACTTTTGGAGGCCACACATGTGATCCCTTCTCTGTGGCCCAGATGTGGGTTGAGCAGCTGGGGAGTGGACAACAGTGAATGGGGTTCCTAGGAACTTGTGCAGCAGATAGCATGGCCAAGGGTTAGGGGCTTTAGAATGTCCACAAACGCCATGCCTTAGATATTTGAAACCAATCTGATGTCAATCTAGAGGTAGGCAAAAGAGCAGTCAGGGATGCTTGTAGAGGAAGGTAGAGGCTCTGGCAGGCAAATATGTGATCAGAGAGATGAAGAAAACATGTGAGGTGCCAACCTCCATAAAGCCTGAGCACAGTTTTTGAGTGACTGAGCAACATTGTGCTTTAAGAAGGAAAGTTCTGTTTTAATGGGAAACCCTGACTGGATTCACAAGAGAGTTTTGCAGTCCAAGGTTTTGCAGTCCAAACAGCATATAACTTTGGCATAGATTTTGGGGGGAGATATAATACCAAATTTTAAGCTTTCAATTTTATAAATGTTCTAATTAGGCAAGGACCTTTGAAACAAACTTATTCTGTGTGCAGTATTGTGTAATCCATCCAGTGACCTAAAAATATAATATTTTCTGGACTACCTCCATTCAACTGGCTTCAAATGTTTTATCATAAGGAGCTCTGAGACTCAGCCTAGAATCCTCCTACTTCCCGCTGATTTCCACACAGGGTGAGTGAGATGCTGACCTAGCCTTGTACTGTTACTAGGCACTGCACAGAAGAGAGTAAGTTCAGGCTGAGTGCTGTTCTGAAGATTTTCTTCAGAGGCACAGAATAAGATTAAATGCTAAATAGGGTACCTAATTGTATTTTACTCATAAAGTGGAAGATTGCATGTAAATGCTGAAGCATGAATTCAAAAACAATATTACATTTGTTTTTTGTTTTGGTTTTAGGGAATAATTACAAACTTCAATATTAACCAATTAAAGCACTTCAGGATCCAGACACCCACTAGAATTTATAGAGTCAGGAGTAAGTAGATAATTAAGAAGGGGATTTACAAAGCACTCATCTTCGCTTCTGGTAAACATATTGACTTCCAAAATAATGTCACTGTCAGTGAACTCCTTTGTGGTGTCAAGGCAAACTTTAATTGCTTCATTTACACCCAGGGGAAACCTTTTACTTCGGCTGAGATTTTGATTCATCTTTGTTGAAAGACTGCATACTAATCATCCTGGAAAATCAATACAAATTTCACTTGAATGTAAAAGATTCAAGTGATCATCACTGTTTTTGGTTCTGTTGATATATTGATAAATATGGCACAAGACTGCATGGCCCAGAGTTTGAGGAAAAATGGAATATATACCTATATCACAGAAAAGATATGCAAGGGGATGCATCAGTTACTAACCCACTGCATGTATTCCTACTGACATACTCTATCTATCTATCTATCTATCTATCTATCTATCTATCTATCTATCTATCTATCTATCTATCTATCTATCTATCTATCTATCTATCTATCTATCTATCTATCTATCTATCTATCTATCTATCTATCTATCTATCTATCTATCTATCTATCTATCTATCTATCTATCTATCTATCTATCTATCTATCTATCTATCTATCTATCTATCTATCTATCTATCTATCTATCTATCTATCTATCTATCTATCTATCTATCTATCTATCTATCTATCTATCTATCTATCTATCTATCTATCTATCTATCTATCTATCTATTGTACTTATATGGCTGCCTATCTCATGTAATGACTCTAAACTCTGTCTCATATAATGACATACATATGTATTCATCACAGTGTAAGCAGTTGTGGAATGTCCAAGTGCTATTACCTATCATCTACCTAGTTTATGCCAATACCTTTTGCATTATCGTTCCATAAATTACTATCCTTGTAAACCATTCTTGCTTTCACCTGCTTCATACACTGCTGCATGAATTTCCTTTTGTTCTTTAACTTTTCCGCTTTCTTTTTGAGGATTTCATCATTTCCTGACTTTCCTGACATTCTCAAATGTCCCCTTTCATTCTCCCTATTTACTCTTCCTCTGCATAATTGTTTTGGGATTCATTCCACATTCATTCTATCTATATGACCAAACCATCTCAATGTACGCTTTTCTAAGCAGATTCTCATCATAGCCACCATTCTTATTCAGTTTTGGATCTCCAGTATTTTTCCATACTCTCTTGATTCATTCCCATCTAGCCAAAAAGATTTTCCCCCCAAAATTTATCTGTTGTTACTGTTTTTTTCATTGTCACTAGTCACTGGAGTGTCACATGAAACCATCACTGAATTATGGGTTCCTACTTTCATTTGCACTCACAACAAGCCAGAAGACATAAATTCATACTTTCTGTCATACAGTTCAGCCCTTCCATTCATAATTAAACCTGTACTTTTCTGCATATCTGCTACAACTCCACAAGATCAGACCATTGACCTTTGTCACCCACCATTGTTTTGTTCAATTGAGGCATTCACATATTGTTTTTTAGTGTGACAGAAAAGATACTAATTATATTACCAGTCATAGTGACACCCATGCCAAATGCAGCATTCCTTGCTAATAGTAAGGACAGCAAAATTTGGTCAGTAGGCCACAAATGCAACCAAAAGCTAGTTTAACTCTGAGTATGCTCAGCTATTCTGAGCTTGCTCATACAAACCAGGATCACTAATACAGAGACTACTTTGCAATCCATAATAAGGATGCACTTATTTCTCATGCAAGAAAAAGCTGGCCTGAGATTTTACAAAGAAGAATAGAACCACATATGCCAAAGGAAAGGTGGTTTTCCAAAAAGGAAGAGGGACATGAAAGCAGAAAGACATGGTATTTTATGATATGATAATATCTTCAGAGCATAAGAAAGAGGCTTAATCTTGCTTCATTTACTACAGCAAGGTCTTTGACTATGCACATCATGTCAGAAGGTGGAACATATTAAGATGGATAGGCATACCAGAAAGCTACTGAAGGATCTGAATTTGGTAAAACAAAGTGGTTCAAAAACAGAAAGGGGGTGAGTGTATTATTCCCATACTTGTTTAACTAATACAGTGGATATATCATGACAGGATTGGAAGAGATGACAGCATGAATCAAAATTAGAGGTCAAAATGCTAACAATATGAGATATGCAGAGACCATCATTTTGTTAGCTGAAAGTAAAGAAGATTTTGAAGAGCTCCTTGTGAAATAAATAATGGAAAGTGAAAAAATCCAATTTAATGTTAAATATTAAGAAGACAAACACAATGTTAACAGTATGCTTAGTGAACTTATATCTGACAGTGAAATATAGATGGTTTTGGTGTCTTGTGCTCCAAAATAGATAAAGAAGGCAGTGTGCTGGAGAAGTCAAGAACACATTAATCTTTGGGAATAAGGTGATGACAGTTTTAGGTAAGATCAGGAAGGATAAAGAAATTTCAGTGACAAAAACATCAGAATAATTAAAGCAATGGTCTTCCTGTGGTAATATACAACTAGGAAAGCTGGACCCTGAGAAAGAGCAGGAGAAAGAAGATGGATGTTTCCAGTTACAGTCTTGGAGATATTTACTGAGGCTACCATGAAGTGCAAGTACCAGCAGTCATCAATTCTGGATCAAATAAAGGCTGGCTGCTCACTTAAAGCCATGATCAGCAAGCAGAAACTGACTTAACTACTTTCACTATGTGATGCAAGAAAATGATGGGCTGGGGAAAAAAATGTTTACGCTTGGTAGGAATTAGGAAAAGTAGAAGAAGAGGAAGGCAATGAATAATGTGAATGGACAGAATCAAATGGATTACTGGAATGTTACAGGTTACTACCAAAGACAGGGCAAAAAGATGAGCATTGACCACATAATTCACTTGAGTCAAACTTGACTTGATGACACCTGACTAACCAATCAACTAACTAATTATTTTGTTGAAGCTGAAGGAAACAATTCTTTCCACCCTCTTCTGATAATTACCTTGACTAATTCCACTCACCATTTATGACACAGAGAAACTAGGTATATTAGGTATATTCTTCCACTGATACCTTGCCTACACATTAAGGATTATGTGATACAGCTCTCTTTGGACTGTGCTACTTCAGAATGTGTCATGTGTCAGAATGTGTCATGTACATTTCAAGAGAAATGTAATGATTTTGCATGCCAGAAATTCTGTGTGGTGACGGAAACTAACATAGAAAAGATAAAAAACCATATCCTCATCTTCTTCCTCATTCTTCTGAAAAATTGATTGGTCTCAGGAATTAGTCATGGAGAGAGAGAAAAAAAGAAATAAAGGAAAACATCTCAAAATATAAATCTATATTTTATGTCAGAATGAATGGCTTGTTATAATGGTCCATTTATCCTTACATGATCACCACATACATCTACCCAGTGGGGCAACCTAAGTGACTTAATGACACCAAGAGTCTTGTGACTGCAGCAAGTATAAATGCAAAAAATAAATACAATGAACTAAAATCTAAAGAAACTAAGGTGTGATCAAAACCACCATTAATCTGGAACAGACAAATGTAGAACTAAATAGTTTTCAGAACAATAATAATAACTAGACATGAAATAAAATAGGAAGCTGAGTTTCTGCTTTATAACTAGTATCTTTCTAGAGGTCTATGTGTCTTCCTACCTTGTCATCTTCTGGTGTATCAAAAAGATGGTGAACTGGAATGGTGGGAAAAGATGACTTGGATTCTTCTACAATGTGTATTTTAGGAGGTCTGGGTGGTGGGTTTGTGGCTTGATTTTTATATTTTCGCATCATATAGTATTGCTCTTCTGTAATCTCTTCTACAACTGACTTTATTGGGTCTTCTGGAGCCACAGTGTCTTCTGGATGTTCGCTCAGCAATTGGAAGGTCATATTTAAACAGTGCACAGAAACTTCCCAGATTTCTGTGGGATTATTGAAATTGCTGATTAACAAGTAAGAATCATTTATTTCCTCTTCAAGCTGCAGCCAGGGAACGCCAGCCAAAATATCCTCCTGGATGGAAAGATCCCTTATGGCGACTGTGACATTTAATGGAAGGTGGAAATCGTTGCAAAGCTCTAAAAGGTCATATTGCTTCTTATCATGCACCACTTCAGTGAAGCCCCCTTCCATGAACATTGGAAGAAGGATGGGCTTATGGGCTTTCTTTGGCAAGATAATTTGTTCACAGGGTAATGCAGTCTGCACACACTGCCTTCCAAATTCAGCAGCTTGGCTTTTCTGGTACTTCGGAATCAAAAATTCGTCTCCCACAGAAACTGAGCACATCTCTTCATGAGGACAGTCAAAAGCTTTGGTGGCTGCAACATGAAGCTTTTCCTTCATGTTCCTTGCTATTTCCAGGTCATAGGCGGTTGGGAATTCCCGAGGTTTCCTTTTGAATTTCCCTTTGTAGCTGGTAGGAATTAAAAAGTGTCTTTTAGAGGAATTATTCTTGATTTCAGATGCTAAGATTCTTGCTGCCTGACATTTTTTGTTAATTACTATTTCTCTACCAGGACCCAGCAAATTATAAGAGTGCTTGTTTCCAATGGAGGCTTCAACTACAGCAACAACAAAAGGGGATCCAGTGTCTGTCTTTTCTAATATATCTTTCACTGATAATGGCTGGAGGAAACTATTAATATTGTAATGGTCAGTGACATCCTCAACTTCCACATCTAAATCAGAATGGAAGTGAACGATCTCTTTTTGAACTGAAAAAGAAAGAAAGAATGAAACAAAATTCTGGTCAGTTTTTAATGATATAATGGTGCTAATTATCCAACAGTTCACTGTATAAAAAATGAATTATTTTCTATACATATCATTGATTGTTATACTGGGAGTTGCTTGAAACAATGATTCATGAGATTAAATGTTATTTCTAAATCCTATGTTAAGCGTTGAAATTAATTGTGTGTTATCCAGCACTTAAGAAATATGATAGTAGTCTAAGAGCAGTACTAGCAATTGTAATATACTGTGGGTGCTTTCGAGTACACTCTGTGATCCTAGGGAGGTCAGATTAGTGACTTTGTGTGTGTGTGTGTGTGTGTGTGTGTGTAATGCCTTTGAGTCGGTGTTGACTCCTGGTGACTGTCTGGCTAGTCCCTGCAGTTTTCTTGCAAAGATTGTTGGAAGTGGTTTGCCCTTGCCTTCTTCTTCCTAGGGCTGAGGAAGTGCAACTGGCCTAAAGAAACCCAGCTGGCTTCACACCTAAGGTGAGACTCAAACACAGTTACATAGTTTAGACTGTAGTTAAGTTGCACAGTCTGTTCCACTTAGCATCCAAAATGGAGCAGGATGGCTTTGTATCACAAAATGGTTCTTCCTGAGATACAGCACAGAGGACAGAGAGTGATTGGCCCGAGGTTACCCAACTGGCTTTGTGCCTAAGGCAGGACTTGGACCTGGGTCTTCCTGATCCTAGTCCAGCAGCTTAAGATTTTCTGAATGTCTTTATATATTTCTTCCCAGCTGTTCTGATGTTTTTTTTACATAACCACCACATATGTAAATGTTCCTTCTTTGTAATCTTTCCAACATTTGTTATTATCCATAAATTGTAGATAATGATGGCTGAAAGATATTGGTTTGCAATTATTCAGGTGTATTTCTGCCAGGGAAAGCTGATGTCACATCATATTCCATAGAATTTTTATGTACATAAGTGAGATCCAATGTGTTAGTGAAGTATCCCTCTTAGCAAGATTCTTTAAAATGACACAGTTAAATATAGCAAACCTACATTTTCTATGAGCCATACAATGAATTATGCACTTGAGTTTATACTGAAGATCTGCATACTGCACACATTATCTAAATATTGATTAGTCCCCCTTAGCTGTGACAATTTTATTTATAACAGAATGAGTGCTAGGCTTGAGACTGCAATCTTATACTATATTGTTTCAAAGAAATGCAGGAATCTATTCTTCACAGCTCACAAAACAAATAGCTTGTTCTAGGAAACAAGTTACTTCTCAACAGAACATAGCAGAAACTGTTTAGAAAATATTCACTGCAATTTATCTGTGAACTCATGGTGAAATTCACTGATATGTTGGAAAACAGAATAGTTACTGAAGCATGCAGGTATAACATAAATTCTTTATTTTATCTGAAAAATATATTTGAAACTTGATCCTGCAATTAGGAGAAAGCTTTTTAAAAAAATGCTAACTCTGACTCTAGAATCATACTTGCTGTATTTCTGTAATACATATGGATATCTTTAGGAAAACTTCCTTTCCCTTTGTTGTCTTTTTCTTGCTGCTGTAGGTTATGTTGAAGGGTGCTTTCAGCTAGAGTTACTATCAACTGTATCACATTGGATTACTGTAAAAGATTCTACAACATTGCTTTTGTGGAGAAGGTGTGAGAATCTTGAGGGAAATGATCAGTGGAAGGTGTAATCAGTTGAACCCCTTGCCTCCATAAAATTCATCAGAAGAGGCAGGCAGTTGCACAACAGAAGTTTCATTTTGGGCAATTCCACACTGCAGCCTAAGCTGCTTGTCTCCCATGTAGCTCCCAGCTGTTTCTTAAGCTAACTTCACAAATTCCACCCTGGGTTGCAGTGGGTTAGCAATGGGAGCAAGCTGGAGCTCAGTCTAGATCAGTGTTTCTTAACCTTGGCAACTTGAAGATGTGTGGACTTCAGCTCTGGGGAATTCTGGGAGTTGAAGTCCATACATCTTCAAGCTGCCAAGGTTGAGAAACACTGCCTAGGCTATGGCCACCACAAGGCCTACATGCTCATTCCCTGCTTCTTGCCTTTCCTGTCCACACAGGGGAGGCGAAGCTCACTAGCTGCCTCCTGAGTGGACCAGTCTCCCAGTGCCTGCCTTTTCCTTTTAGGGATTGTTCCCTCCTCACTGGTCCCTGTACCTTTCCTTTGCTTTCCCAGATGTTTGCATACATGGAAGCCTTCACATACCCCTTCCCACTTATCTCCTTTGATACGAATGCATGGCCTTCCTTTTCTTCTTTTTTCCCCTTGGGGTACCATCATTGCTCTGATGCTACAGTAATCGCAGCAATAGGGAACAGGTTGTTCTTTCACTCCTACATCCTTCTGTAGACCATTGGAAATATTTTAGCAAGGAAAAATGGCTACTTCAGCTTAATAGAAACCAAGTAGCAAGGTTCCTAGGCTGCAATGTAAAGATGCTATATTTTTAAAAATAAAGGAAAAGGGAGGAAAATTTGCAGCTGTGGTAAGAGGGAGTAGAAAAGCAAGGGGAGCACGGCTCACCTGGGCAGAAACTGTAAGGGTGACCACTGGGAAATAAAAAAGCTGAATGGAATATGGGCTTCCAGGGTTGAGGTTCATTGACTTAATGGGCTATTAATGAATCAGCTGAAAGATTATTGGGGGAAAAATACCAGCAACTGCTGATCAGCAGAGAACATAGCAGCCCAGGAGCCCAGGACTAATTAGGTGCCCAGGGCAATGACCAGTTACTGGAAGGGAGAGGATGTGCCAGGGACTGCAGCCAATCAGAGCTGAAGCTGCTGCTGGGACAGAGCAAAGTGTTGTAGGCCATCTATTCTGAAGGGCTTAAGATGTCTTGGGTCAGAAAACAGCAGTTTTGAATGGAAGCTGGAAAACCCAGCCATGGGGTGCATTTGCAATGGGATGGGAGTGGGAGTAGGATGACATCATCTGCTCCTGCACTCAGGAGCAATGGGCCAGGCAGAAAGTATGGATTAGCTCACAGAAGCATTCATTGCTGGAATTAAGTTTGTTGTCAATATTAAGTATGTTGTCAGGATTAAGAATGTCAGTATTTCCTGAATTTGACAGTGAGGATAGATCTTCTGAAAGCAAGCTACATGAAGATGTATTATCACAGGTGAATAATAAAGTTATAAACAGCACCAAAAGAGCTATACATAATTCCAGGTCATCTAGCTAATCTCACATATTCTGTACACAGAAAATAGTTGCCTGTGTCTAACAGAAAATAGACACAGGCAAGTAATTGAAATTGGTCTGTGCTTATAAAACTTGCTATTTTATGAGGATGAAAGCACTTTTCATGCATTTGTGTTTTCATGTTCACAGTTGCTGCATAATCAAGCATAATGATGATGATGATTTTCTTGGTTCTGGCCTTTCATGTAAAGTCTACAGCTACCTCTGGTGTTACAATGTCTTCAGAATGACCACTTCAGTAGCCCCCTCTCCTCCAAAACCCACTGCTAAAGGTACAACCACATGGGGAAAAGTTGCAAAGAGGAACAGAAAACCTGTAAAGGGACAAACTCCAGGGAAAATGGGATAGCACTCTGAAGATATAAAAATCTCACTTATTATTAGAATTATTATTCTAGATTATTAGAAAACCTTTTTTTTAAAAAAAACGCTACTTTTACTTCACACATTATATATGCATGGATAGTTTTTATTATCTATTCACAAAGGATTTATTCTAGTTTGATTAAGGAAAGTCAAGAAAAATCAGCACTGCTTTCATGAAGATGTGCTATTTCGTAGGGCTGTGCTACATTTTGGATCTGATTCCAAAGAGGCCTTTCCATTACAATGATCCTGGGAAAGATGCAGCTGTTTTAAAGAGCTGCATTCTGCTGCCACTTTCAAACTCCCATGTGCCTAGAAACATGAAGCTGGGCCTAAGGATGCCAGAGAATTCCTAGAAGCTTGGCACCCTGACGATTTAGCCATCGACTGACAAGTAGAAGCATATTTATTTATCTATATATTTTTCAAAAGGAACAATCAAAGGTCAAAGAAAGGGGCAAAGAGCTCAGAGTATGCTCTCCTTTATCACACATCTATTAAGCAACACTCAGATGAGCAGGAATCAGCACCTCATCACCACAATAAGTACCAGACAAGAGCGTGCCACTCGAAGAAAGAACAATGCACATCCTGCATGAAAACACACCATCTGGTAGGGCAAGCTGCTCTGTATATAGGTAGTCCTCACTTAACAACCACAATAGGAACCAGAAAATTTGTCGTTAAATGGGGTGATCATTAAGTGAAGCATCACATGACCGCACTCAATTTTACGACCTTTTTTGCGGCAATTGTTACACAAATCACATGGTCATTAAGTGAATCATGTGGTTACTTATTGATTTTGCTTGCTGAAGCCGGCTGGAAAGGTTGCAAATGGTGATCATGTGACCATGGGATACTGAACTGTGAAGTATGAGCTGATTACCAAGCACCCAGATCGTAATCATGTGACCGTGGGGGCACTGTAACGGTTATAAGTGCAAGGACCAGCTGTAAGTAACTTTTTTCAGTGCTGTTGTAACTTTGGATGGTCACTAAAAAAATGGTTGTTAAGTGAGGACTATCTGTATGCAGCCCAAAGAACCTCAATTCTCCATATCAGAGCACTGATGATGTTACCTGGTCTGGTAATTAAACACCAGCAAGAAGAAAACCCAGTTCAGAAAACACCAAGAACCCAACAATTCAACCCTAAGTTACATATTCTCTCCACTATTGCAATATCTTCTAATAATTTCTGGGGTGTTGTACAATCTTGCTGTTTATCACTGAAACATAACAACACATGTTGCTGCTGTTTCTTTTAAGCGTTTTCAGCTTATCAGAAAGAAAGTTAAACTAGTACCCATCTCCTTGAATCTTCTAACTTTCTGGTTTTGTTTGCTTTTTCTAAATTGGGGGCATTCATTTATATTATCACCACCATCCCCACCACACCACAGCCATGCCTCTCTCCCCAGCATCATCTGCAGCCTGAAGTAAAGCAGTCCAAAAACCAGATTACTACCTCACTGGTTTGTGATAGAAGCATTTATCAGACTTTACTCTGAGCTTTGGCAGAATAGTTACAGATGATGAAATCAAGTGTTTTTCTTTTTATTCCATTAGCCCTTCTAGGCAAGTCCTGCTTAGAATTACGGAGTTGAAAATAACCATTTAGGTCATCAAGTCCAATCCCTTGCTGAGCACAAAAATCAAAATTAAGGCTTTCTTCAACACATCCACTGAATACACTGGGTAATTAGTTTAACTGCTGAATTGCACTTACTATTAGGAAGGTCTTTGCTAACATTCAGTCAAAATGTTCTTTCTTGTCTGTATTAGCTATGTTTGGAGGACCGCAGAAAAAAAGTTGAGATAATTCCAACTGAATTTTCCTAGTTCATTCACTGGGTGTTGTATTTAGCAAAGCATATGTATGTAAGTAGAACATAGCTCGTTACAAATAGCTAGTGAGAGATGCTTAGGATCCAAAAGGACAAGTACCATTTAAGTAAGCTACAAGTTAGTATCAACTGATGGATCATCAGACAAATTGACCCAGAGTCCTCACTCGAGGCACAAATGAGCAGGCTCAAATTATCGTACTTTGGACACTTTATGTGAAGGCCCAGCTCTCTGGAGAAGGCTGTAATGCTGGGAAAGGTGGAAGGAAAGGACGACCAGCAGCAACGTGGATGGACCCAGCGGTGATGAGTGCACTGTTAGGAGATCTGAAATAACAGGTTAGGGATAGACTGCCATGGAGAAAATCTATGTGGTCGCTAGGAGTCGAAAAGAACTTGATGGCACATAATCAATCAATCAATCAATCAATCAATCATATCTTATTATAGAGTTCCTACATCTCTGAGGTTTTTGTCCTCATGGTGGGGAAAAGTGGGGGGAGAGAAAATACTCCTTCAGTAGAAAGAAGGCTGAAGGGAAGAAAGATCCTAAGAATCCTCCAATCAGAGGAAAGCAGAACAAAGAGGAAGAGAGAATCAGAGAGGAAGACCCTTGTTGTTATCTCTTTTCCTAATGCCCCGGCAGTAAAGAAGATTTACCAAAGTGGATGCATCTCTGTTCATTCAAGCAGTAAATTATATCTCCAGAATAATGGAAGCTTTTAAATTGTACCTATTTCATTTTCAATCTGGCCTGAGTGTGGGGATCAAAAGCACCTGCTACCTGCACATTCATACACATTGTGACCCATTATGTCAACAGCTAAACAAGTTATTCCAGATCTTAGGATAAAACATGACATGAGATTGAATTACAAATATGCTAGAGCTAAGTCATTTAATTTTCAGCTTTATTAACCTGCTCAAACTATTGAGCCACTATGTTTTTGTCTTTGAAACACCTTGGTGTTTCTGATTTGGTGCTCGTGTTTATCAACTTACATTTCATCACGGCATGGACTTCATATATTGCTTCTAGAACTACACAGCTTCCAAAATTCTTAGGCAGCAGCTCAGGAGTGTATCCGGCATTGCCAGTATCAGTGAACAGGACTTTCCGTGTTTGGCTCTTTGGGATTTTCCATTTGGCAACCTCTTCCAGGGTGTATATCTGGTCATCTTGACATTCATAGAAATCACCTTCTTGAGAAAGTGGCAGAGGAAAGGCATGTATCTGGTCATTCCTCTTTATTTCACAGTTCACTGTCAGGGTCTCATTGTGATCTTCTACAGACATAAATGCAAATTTCTCCCCCTGTTTGATGGTCAGGTTTTCTACCTGCATATCCTTAGAGCAATAGAAGCATGGCTGTTCATGCTGGGTAGGTCCAATCCAAACTTTGTTCACAATTTCTGCAACGTTGACATATGGGGTTTTATCAGCCACTAGCCTGCAAAGACCTTCAAAGGCAATTTTTAAATTGAGAAAGAGATGTTAACATTATGCAAATATCAAACATTACTGAACATTCATTTCATATTTATAGTTGCATGAATTCAGGAAATTGTATTAAACTAGAAAAAGATGATAATATTTTTGTAAAATAAAAAAATGTACAAAACAATCTATATTTTTTCCCATTTGACTTATACAAAAATATGCCTGCCATTTATATATGTAGGTTTACATGTGTGTGCATGTGTGTGCACATCTGGGAATGCTCTGAGGGTACCCACTGTGGTGACATTTGCTCATTTTCATTTGTCAAATTAATAATTGAAATGTTATCGGCCCAGGATTTAAGCTACTTCATTTGCAGAATATCGAGCCATAAGACTTTTGAGGCTCCTTCTAACATGAGGGTGTACAAGTAACTGTGTACAAGTGTGTACAAATAATGGTGTGTACAAGTAACTGTACATCCTTCTTTCAGAGAGAAGGATTTGCTTTTGCTTTTAATCTTTTTACTCTGCTGAAGGGGTAATGCCAGTAATAATGAGGGTAGAGGCCAATTGTGAGTGGGGCTGAAGCTACAGATGAAGCCCAAAATGGGCAGGGCCACCCTCTCCATGCTGCAGCCTCTGATTTTCCATCTTCCCCTCTTTGGGACTACCTAATGTTTAAGACTACCTAGTGAGCTTCGTAAACATTTGGTCATTGGCTTATATAAAAATGCAAGCATATAATCTGTTGTCCCCTTTCAGCTAGCTTTATATTGTTATAGCTTAACTTTTGAGTAGCTAGAAAGAATTTTTTTCCCAGCTAGGAAGCAGTAGAAATCAGAGTTTCCTCCCTGCTCCCAGTATATAGTCTTGGATGGAGTTTTTGGCCAGGACTCTGGAACCAGAAAGTATTGTGATGAATGGT